CCCCGAGCTGCCGGGCCTCGGCATCTGGGGATGGTTCTGAGCTCAGGGAATGCCGGGGCTGCTGCGGGGGTCACCCAGAGACGAGGCTGCCCCGCGCTGTGGGGAGGCTTCCCGGCCCCCTGTGAGGTCTCCAGGCTGTGGAGCGGCGGTGCCGTGGGGCTGGGGGCATCTGGCGATGGGGGCGCCCCGCGTTGGGGCCTCTGGGAGGTGTTGGGGCTGTGGGTCGATCTTGTCCTCGTCTGGCTTTGCGAGCCAAGCAGGGGAGAGCAGGGCGAGTGTTTGGGGAGGGGATCCGGCCCTTTACAGGCGAGGTGGGGAGGTGGATGGGAGGGAAGAGGAGAGATGCTTTTTTGGCCTTGGTGTCTTTGCTCCCTGTTTTGGCACTCGAAGGAGGAGCAATGTCCTGTGCTGTGGAGGAGTGAGGACAGTGGCTGCACTTCTGATGGGAAGAAGGCTGAGCGTCAGACAGGAGTTGCTAGCAGGGCTGTGTGGATGTGATCTGGTTTTCTGCTTGGGGGTGGGAGCAGCTGGAAAGCTTGGACAGGGATGGAAAACTGTGACCTCAGGTGAGGAGGTGACCCTGCACGCTGCTGCCAAAATGCCAAAAGCGGAGAGGGACAGCCACCTAGCAGAGGCCTGCGGTGCGATCAGGTTGCGAGTGTAGGAGCCCTTCAGGGATGCTAGACTGCAGCGCCTCCCTTATTTACAGTTTAAGGAAACACAGGTGCAGGGTACGGTTCACCCTTTTTTTGTCTGTGTTATCAGCCAGAGTACTGAGATGCTGGTGAATGCACTCACAGGGACATGTCTTTAGGATGCATAGGAATAACTGTAGAGTTAATGACTCTTCCTTTCTGCTCCAAGTAAGCTGAAAGCTGCAGGCTTTGCAAACATCCCTTTGAAACTGTGAGGTGGTTATGCTGTTGGCAGCACAGATAGAGTCAGAGGTGAAGGAGCAGGATCAGCACTTTGCTGCATGCAAGAGTGCCCGGGATTGCTGTGCGCAACGTGCATCGTGGGGCTTCGCGAGGCGGCCGCGCTGCTGTCTCCTCGTGGAGATATTTGCAGTCTGTGGGTTTTATTAAGAATGCGAGAACTATAGGGAGTACTTAGGGGTATGGCAGCATGTAGGGAACTGGAGGGTGTCCCTGAGCATAGCTTCTGCACCAGAACCTCCCTTGCCATGTGCCAAAGCAAGGCTTTGGAAACTGGCTGCTGCACTGGGGTGCATGGATAGCATGTTAGTTAAGAAACTAACAATCTAGTAATAGAAAAGTTAGTTAAGATCAAAGTGGTAAAGCCTCCAGTGAGAAAATCTTATTTGTTACACTGACATAGCTTTTGGGGTCTGATTTTTGGTGGTTTTGTTGTAAATATCTGCTTCAATTTGAAAAAATACCAAGTTTTTGCCCAATACTGTTTTTTTGTCTTGTTCACACAGCAGTTGTGCTGTTGTTTATTTCATTTTCACCTTACTGTAGATTGGTGACCGTATTTGTGGTGGCAGACCCTAATTTGGCTGGTATTTTCGTGAACGTTGCTTGTCAGAGGCAAAATGCCTACATTTTCTTGTCTAATTACCAGGGCTTAGCTTTATTTGGAGCCTTTCTTCTTGGCTGCAATATCATTTTCAGTTTTTTCTCCACTCTCTTTTGTTTCTCACTTTGTATATCTCTCTCGTAATATTTTGTTAACGGCAACAGAGGAGTCTGATGTCTCATTTCGAGCTTTACTTCTGGGCAGATGTGCGGGTCAGCTGGCAAAAGGCTGTGGTGAAAATCTGTTCTAGATGATGCTCGTGCAGGGAGTCTCTGCACTGACAGCCTATAAGTTCTTGTAGTGAGTGGCTCTGATATTTCCCCTGGACTGTATGCCGGCCCGTTATATTGCTGTCCTGTCATCAAAAGAAAACAAACAATGGACTTCGGCGGTTGGAAAGATAGGGTAAAATCAGGTAGAACCATGTTTTTATACCTTGCTCTAGATGGATGGGAGTGTTTTTTTTTTTTTTTCTCTGAATTTAGGGATTCTCTAATGTCATGCTAAATATTCTTGTTCATTTTCTTTCCCAAAGAAATGGAAGCAGCTGTCTCGACTCCAACGGAGTGTGATTCTCTTCCTGTTTGCCTTCCTGGCCGTCTGCGGAGTCATTTCGTATACAACTATGGGAGAGCCGTGGAAAAGTATGTGCTCTGTATGGCTCAGAATTACCTGAATGAGTTCTTATGTTTAAGAGACTGTTTTAATTTTCCTAGATAATTCTGTCTTGCAGTGACAATGACTGGGTACATTTATTAAAGTGGAGTTGTGAAATAGTTTTATGTGGTGTTTCCTTGGTTATGCTTACTCAGAAAGGCATATTTTAATGTGCCTTTTAGTTCTTTATCGTGACTAGCAGCAACATTTTGATGATTCAGGTCTGGAGGCCATGAGTATGTTTTGATTATATTTGTGTGTACATTTTGGTAACCCAAATATACACACTGAAGATAAGATAATCCTCTGTTCAGCTTTTAAATTCCATGCTTTTCTGAAATATAAAGGCACATTTACCTACAGTATTATCTTGCTGCCTGAATTGAAAATCTGAAATGAAAAACATGCTCTGTTCAACAGTCTCTTTTTATATTCTGGAAGTCTTAACATTAGAAGACACTTTGTATCTAACAAGCAGGGCTTACGTAGCAATGTTTTGTGAATAGAAACATTTCTGGTGGTGCATAGATTATTTGAATGCATTCCTAGCTGGAGTCTAGATTGCTAATTCCCTGTGCTGAGTGATTTTTTTTGTGTCTAGGTCTAACAAACAAATCACCAGATGATCAGAGAGCAGAGCCAGAAGTTCCTGGGCTAAAGTTGGCAAATCCAGCTGTTTTACCAGCACCTCGGAAAGCAGATGCCAACCTTGGAGACTACCCAGAGCTTTCACTTCAGGTACCATATGATGAAATGATCCTTATAAGCCTGCCAAAGAATTTGTGAAAGTTGCCAATAGCGCTTGGTTCCAGTGGTTGTCATGGAAAAAAGAAATTATAGCCTGCAATAAGATTTGCTCTGGATGGAGTGCTATCCTCTCAGGAAGAGCTTTGGTTATGGTATAGTATGTGTTGGCTTTAGGCCATACCCAATCTGAGTCTAAAGAGGGACTCTGTGTGGCTCTTGGGAATTCCTTTTTCTATCTGAAGAATTTCATCAATTTCTTTAATAGGAATGCTGCTGGATAACATAAGGGTGTAGAAGATGCTGCGTGGAAGTGGGAAGAGCAGGAATAGCAGTGGGAAATGCTTTTTCTAAATTGCCAATGTGCTGTGGAGCAGAGAACTTTTAAGTCATGTTGACCTGTTATTTGAGACTTCGCCTTCCTGATGTGATTTGTTTGACCTTTTAGTGCTGTAGAGTACTCCAGGCGTCAGCCTTGCAGTTGCAAGGAGCCTAAATGGAACGTGTGATTGAATGAGACATAGGATGTGATAAGTGTTGCACTGAATTCTTGCCAATTCTAATAAAAAAATACTGTACTTAGTAAAATGAAATCAAATATATTTATGCTCCTTTGACAATGTCTTATGGTAATTTCATTACTAGTAGACAGTGTGAATTAAAGATGATTTATCAATGTATATTTAACAACTGTGTAGCTTTACTGAAGCTTTAAAAAATCAAACAAGGTCTTCAGCACGTTTTTTTGTTTTTCTCACTTGTTTTCTCAGAAGCAGCCAAAGTTGCCTCATGTCCGTCGTGGTCCTCCTAATCTTCAGATCAAGCCACCACGGAGGGATGTGAGGCTCAAGACCCAACATGATACCAGCAAAGTTTTAGAGGAACCAGTCCAGACTGAAAAAGAAGAGAAGACAGAGAAATCTGTTATCAGGTAGAAATATTTCCAGCAAGTTACAGCTTTTCTCTTTTTTTTTTTTTCTTCTTGTCAGCATCCCTTGGATGTTGCAGCAAAAATTGTAGGGTGTTTTTGTCTGTGTTGACTTTTTTATTATTATTCTTTTCCCTTTATTTATGATTATTCCCTCTTGCCTGACATCTCTTGATATTGCTATGTTGATTTATTTTATTTGGGCAAATGTGTGGTTTTACTGTTTCTGTTATTTTTATTGTAGAATTCCAGGGAAGTTTTGGAGCCCTGCTTGACTCTGTGTTTCTAATAATTTATACACTGTTAGTACCATGCAGAATTTGCAGCGTGTGTTTCCACTTGTCTTCTGGAAAATGTGAACATACCAGTGTCAGTATACGGACACAGGGGGCTCTGCCCTGGTCTGGGCTTGACACTCATAGCAGTGTCACAGAGTTGGGTAGCAGTACGATGGCAGTAAATGAAGCAAGCACAAGGAAAGCTGGCAGAAGCCATAGGTATGTGGCTGTGCAGATGGAGCTCTAAAGATATTCTTATCCATTTTTTTCATAAGGGATTAGTTGTACCAGCAAAGCATCTTCATACAGATTTTTGATATTGCTATATCAAGGGACCTATGGTGCTCTGACTATTGATACAAAGATACAATTCTCTAGGCTATTCCCGAGGGGAGTCCTTTGATTTTAAATAACTGAGGGAATGTAACTTTGCTGTAGAAAAGACTGCTAGAAATTCAGTAGAGATTCTTAAAGTATGAGGGCACTAGACTTCGTTTTCTGAATGTCTGTGTCCTTTTTCAGCACTGACGTGGCTCAGTTGATCATGGTGTCAGAGTTGTGTTTGCTTCAGCCTTTTGGCTATTAGGATTATCTGAATGCTCAAAATGGCTTGGAGAGCAGCGTTCCTGTGCCTCTGCTGATGCTGTTGCTGGTAGAGCAGAAGTAACAGGAGAACTTAGAAAAATGGTTATAGCACAGCAAAGACTTGTTACAAATTTTAAATGAGAGAGTAAGAAAAAGAAATGATTTGATTTATGGAAATCATAAGGCATGCTGATTGAAAACAGTATGAAACTTTAAGATTATTAAGGCCAAGGTCCATTAGCAGTTATATCATGAACTCAAAGATAACGTTTTTATTTATTAAGAACGGTCAAGATGGTTTGATCTTGCTGTGAATGTGGCAGGAACTGAGGTTTATTTTAAAAGACTTTTTTTCCTTCAAAATAGTTTTAATAAAACTTCTTTCAGTAGTTTTGTGCTTCTGTATTTGTGGGAAAGGCTTGAGAAGTCCTTGATAATAAAGCGAATACTTTATACTCCATTGTGCTTATTCGTGAGTTCCTAATGATGTTCATTTGTACAGTGCTAATTTAGTGCTAATGGCTCCTGTGAACATTAAAGTTCTGAAATGAAACTAAACACTTCAAATGCAGCAATCTCAGGTGTTTGCATGTGTATTAAAATTTCTTTGTAAAATTCCAATGCCAAGATATTTAATAAAATCTCAAAAGCTGGAAGATGCATTCTTAACTGAGTGAAATTTCTCTGGTGCAAATGACAAATAGCTAGTGAGCAACACAGTTATTTTGATCTTTGATACAAAAATCTAACTCCTGTTTCATCAAATGTAGTGAAAATAGGGAATACACAGATAAGTTTTGTTCATTTGCACAATCTTGTGTAATCAAATGAAATTTTAATTTCAATTCCTTGTATTTGTAGTTGGAGAGGAGCAGTGATAGAACCTGACCAAAGCACCGAACCTCCTTCTAGCAAAATTAAGGAACCAGAAAAACCCTCATCTATGGAAGCTGAAAGCCAGAAAGAACCAGGCAAGTAGAACAAAGACACCTTTATATCTGTTGACTGTGATTGTCAAAGTTGTGCAATTCCTTTTCACCCCCTGCTCCCACACCTTTTTCTTTTTTTTTCCTCAGTTTATGGGGGAAAAAATCTGATGAGAGAAGGACGTAGGAAGGAACAGTTTTATAGAACTATATGAAGAGATTATTTATCTAGGACATCAAAACTCATCAGTGCCCTTGTTCTGCAGTGAATAAGGACACATTTGTTAATCGTGAGAATTTTGATTGAATTCTAGTTTTGCTTCTCAATATGGAATAAGGAATATTCTGATGCCTGAGTGCAATTCATTTAACATGACTCTGCTTTTTTAAAGGTTATAAACTGCATTGAATGCAGCTCACTGCTACATTTCTCCTGTCTTAGAGTGTGTGTGTCTGCTTCTGAAAAGCATTTGGGGTGTCTTTTCTGAGGTGCTGCATAAAATGTATCTTCTTTATCAGGATTATAGCTACAAAGGGAGTGTTTCACTTGTATGAAAACGTATATGCATGTTCCCTCATGTTCTATATTTTTGCAGCAGCACTGTTTTCTCTGATATTTTGAAGCAAAGTGATCCCAAGTTCCCCTTGTTTGATTTGGGCCTTCTCTGTTGATTTTCTAGAATATAACTGCTTCATGTTTAGGAGTTTGTAGGTCTGTTCTCATTTTCATCTTTTGTCTTGTGAGTTTTGTATGCTTTCCCTTGCTTACATTTTTTGCTTAATTCAGTGAAGAGAAACCAGAGGAACGGGAGCTGAACATGTGCACTGTATATTTTTGTTCTTTCTCTTTATGGAAGGTGTACACTCGCTTTGGGACATCTTGTTTGTATTTTTGCTTTCCTTAAACAATTAGAGTGACATTGAAAATAAATTCTAGTACCAAATCTTTGAAATCTGTCCCCTGGGAAGAAGCAGACATGCTCATCTCTTCTCCAGGAAAGAATAATTTAGCGAGAGAGGGCTTGAATCAAACAACTTCCTTTTCCTGCAGTGGTTTTACTTTCCCTGGATTGCAGAGCAAAAGACATTCTCTCTTTAAGTCAAACTATTTTTAAGGCTCACCAGGAAGCTGAAGAAGTTGTTTTTGCAGTCTCTGTCCTTGTAGAACTTGTTATTCTGCTTTCCAGGTTCACCTGAGGAAATTCTGGCATGATAAATGCAGACACTGGAATACAGTGTGATGTATTCCACTTGTGTTAGCAAAATATAAATGACATTAGTTACATTGCTTGACATCTTCCACTCTGAAGTTCCTTCTTCATTAGCTTGTAATTTTGCCAAACCTCAGCTAAGGGGATTGTTAATTTGCATGCTGGATGTTACCTGAGCTCAAATTTTATAATAAATTGCAAACATAAATTTCAACCATTTTTGGTAGTAGAACAATGGAAAAACACATGGCTTTACCCAAGACAGAAAAGTCACTTTTTCCATTCTTTTTAAATGAAAAACTGAAGAGAAAACATTTTACGAAGAGAAAATGCTTTATGCAGCTGACTTAATCTAACAGAAAGGAATGAATAAGGCATTGAAGATAAAGGAAAAAAAATGATATATAGTGAATTAGATGAGGACTATATTTTAAGCACATATATACAACAGCTGAATTACAGTTGATAAGGTAATCTTAATTGTGGTTTTTCCTGACTTTCAGGTATTTGAGCTATAGTAATCTCATCTAGTAAGTATGCACAGGATAATTTGAGTGTTGTATTTGAAGAAATCACCCTTATTTTGTCAGGGAGAGATCTCTGCTTCCATTTGGCTGAACTGCTGACTGGGGTACTGAGAAAAATCACCCAATGATGGGTTTTCCTTTACACCAATCACTTAAATTAAGAGGAGGAAAAAAAAAAGACTATTTGAGATAGAATTCAGCAAAATGGTGTTTGGGATGGCTGTGTAACTCCACTGCAGGGATCTTGAGCCAGGTGCTGTTTTTCCTTTTGCAGTGCCCATAAATGAGCGTCAGATGGCTGTGATCGAAGCATTCCGCCATGCCTGGAAAGGATATAAGGATTTTGCCTGGGGACATGATGAACTGAAGCCTTTATCCAAATCTTACAGTGAGTGGTTTGGACTCGGCCTTACTCTGATCGATGCTTTAGATACCATGTGGATATTAGGCTTAAAAGAAGGTAACTTTTTGTTCTGTTTTTAAATTTCATTTATTTATTTTTTCCTTTCTCTCAAATAATTCCTTATTATCTGTTCAGGCAGGATGTTTGGACCTCTTTGAAGAGAACAGGGATTACATGTTGGTGATGAATTTAGTTTTCCTATGACAGCAAATATGTACTGTATATAAAAGAATCCAAACATGCTCAAGGGTACTTTTGCTCTTGGATAAGAGTTTGAGCCACAAAGAAAATATGTATAAGTGTGGATATCTCTGCTAGAAATGGAGGTGTGGACTAGCAGGCCACCTGAATTTGTTTTTGTCCTGAATCCCTGGAGTCCTTTGTGGCGTTATACAGCCACCATAGGCTCTTTACCAATCACCTTTTTATTGTTAGCCTGAACTCCCATGCTTTTGTTTTATGACATCTAAGAACAATATTCACCTTATAGATTTAAGAGATTGGCTCCTCTAAGGAGTCAGTGAAGGGAGAAGGGGAGTTTCAGTACTTCCTTCCTGAACTATTGTACTGCGAGTATTTTCTCACATTTTGTTCTGAAGGTGACTGTGCTTTGAGAAGGCTTTTAAACAGATTTTAAAAACTAGGCCAAAAATTCTGCAATTCTCTTGCAGTCAACTAGCTTAAATAATCTTTCAGAAGGGTTCCTCCCCTCCTTTTTTTTTTTCTCTCCAAGCAGTATTTAAAATTTTCTGGAGTTGGGTCTGTCTAACCTTGGTAGACAGCCCCTTAGTGTCATTTTAGAAAGGATGCATCTCTTTTCTGTCAAGAGCGAAAGATCAGAGCTGCAAGGAAGGACACACTGAACAGTAGAAGTTTTTCCCATTTCTTTCTTTTTTTTTAACCTTTGAAGTTTGTGTTCAGGTAAAATATTAAATCAAACGGATTGCATTGCCTGCATCACCAGCTCTAGGCTTAAGCAGACTATCTTGAAGTGACATCAAGTTGACAGGGTGCTGCTTTTCTAACAAAAAATTAATTATGAACTGTATAGAGCTTTTAAAATAAATTATTAGTGATTTAGATGTGTTAAGAATGGATTCTGTTGAAAGCTTTTTCATATTTTACAGCAGTTCTCCATTTAGTGATTGCTTTTGAAAGCTCTTGGGGTTTTTTCTGAATAACAGATGCTGTATAAATGGAAGCCGTGTTTGAGGTTGCTGATCTTTCTTACAAGCTGGTGCATGCTAGACCTCTTGTGAAAGAGGACCTTGTGTTTTTCTGTCATACACATTGCTTCTAGATAGTGATAAAGTCTAGCAACACAGATTTTCTCCTGTGATTTCTCCTGTGGTTTGTCTCAGTAGACTTATCATATTTACCCAACATCTAAGAAAACCCAGAATTTACAAAGCTGTGTAAATATTCCAGGCTGGGTGGTGTAGTTAAAACAGTCTGTTCAATTTAGGATGAGCTATCACAGGTTTTATTCTTAAAACACCCTATATGGGCGTTCCAGTCTTTTCCTTGTGGGGATGTGGAAGCATCCCCTCACTGACAGTTAGTTTCCTGGGCAATATCTTGTATTTCTGTGAAACTGGTTGTTCTTCCTTGACCACTTGCAAGGGCCTTTCTTTCTGGCAGGCATGACACAGTCTGAAGTACCTGCTTAGCCCTCAGTGGTAGAGGCATCCGCTAACACACCAGAGCCTGTGAAAAGGCAGTCGCTGAGGGATGCTGCTTGCTGGCTAATCCAAAGTGTGTTTTCTTTTTTTTTTTTAAATTATTATTATTTTTTTCCTCCCTATGCCTTTTCAACTTTCTAGTTGCGTGTTAAAATAACATTTCTGTATCGGGGGGGAAAAATTGCAGACTGTCTTAGACACCATGTGGATTTGATGCTTCTGAATTTTATGGGTTAAGTGCTGAAGTAGGAGGCAGGCTCTCCAGAGCACTGCTAGGCTAGAGATGGCAATGGATGTTAATTCAAAATATTATTTGTAATGATGACAGATAACAGCTTTGATTTAAAAAAAACCCTGAATTTTAAGGATCAAAAATATTTTGTTCAAGTGTAACTTTCTGTCTAGTTAAATGGATAGATATGAAAGATCTCCATGGCTGGATGATTTTAATAAAGAATGATTTATTTAAAACTATTAGCTTACCATTTTGCTTTGTGTTTTTTTCTGTATGCATCTGTGTTGCACACCAAATAAGAATGAAGAATTTTCCCTGCATGTGCTCATCATTTTATTTTTCTGCTTAAAATGATGACCACTTATATAGATATAAGGAACTACTTTGGATATATAGAATAGTAATGTGTCTACCTGGTGGTTGGAACATGCTGGAAGTTCATCATAGATCCTCCTTTTATGTCTTGTAGAGTTTGAAGAAGCAAGAAAATGGGTAGCAGAGGACTTAGTATTTGATAAAAACGTGGATGTGAACCTCTTTGAGAGCACTATTCGTATCCTGGGGGGCTTGCTCAGCACCTACCATCTCTCTGGAGATAGCCTCTTCCTGGAAAAAGCAGTAAGGACTTTGTGTCTCACAATCCGAATTGGAATATGTAGCTTATGTTGTGCAAAGATTCATCAGAAAATTAAATGTTACATTTTTTTGGTCTGTATTTTATCCTTGCATCTTAACAGCTATCAGCCACCTACTTAAGTTAGTGTTCATCTGAGTGAGGATTCAATGATTTCAGAATTAAATCATGTGGTATAGAGCTTGTAGAAACACCTAAGCTATATGATATGGGGAACAAGGTGAAAACTCTGAAGTTCTTAACTGCGAATGCATCCACAATCCTTTTTAATTTTTCACATCCTTGCGCAGTCTAAAAATAAGCTTTTTTTTCTTTTCTTTCCTCCTGCCTGCTAGTTGAAAGAACATGTAAAGATATGTTTCTGTCCTGTGCTCTTGGGTTTTCTTTAGAAGGACATTGGGAACAGGCTTATGCCAGCGTTCAACACACCCTCCAAGGTACCTTACTCCGATGTCAACATTGGCCGAGGCACCGCGCATCCGCCACGGTGGACGTCTGACAGCACCGTGGCAGAGGTGACCAGCATTCAGCTGGAGTTCAGGGAGCTTTCTCGGCTCACTGGCGATGAGAAATTCCAGGTATGGGAGAACTGGTCGAAACTCCCCTCCCGCCCCATTTACAGTACAGCCTTTATTGCCATGGTCAGTGTTAACCCTTAATGTTACTGAATGAGCTGGCAAACTCTAGAGGAAGAAAAGTATAGAAAAAAAGTCATAGATGCCCTGTTGCACATATTAAGAATGATGTTGCCCTGCTTGAACCCTCCAAGGAACTTAACTAAAATGTAAAATCAGTAAATCTGAGCCTTATAGAAGGTTCCTTTATAAGGGAAAGTTAATTGAAACAAGAGTATTTCCACAGAACAATAATTTCTACTGCCCTTTTCATTTAGCAATGTTTTTCTTTGCTGTTTTAAAGTGCACAAATGTCTCGGAGCACTTAAATGTACCCAGATCATTGTATTTTGAGTATCAGAAAATCTGAAAGCTTGCATTTAACATATTGTATGAGTTAAACTTAATATCCCTTATGCTAATATGAGGAAGAAAAGTTTGTTGTCAGCCTGAAGTTAGTTGTCATTTTTGTGCATTATTTATATGTGTAATTTACATTCACTATTGTTTTTTCCTCACAGAAAGCTGTAGATGATGTAATGAAGCATGTTCACACCCTCTCAGGAAAAAATGACGGACTAGTGCCTATGTTTATAAACACCAACAGTGGGCAGTTCACTCACCTGGGTGTCTATACTCTGGGAGCCAGAGCTGACAGCTACTATGAATATTTGCTCAAGCAGTGGATTCAGGGTGGGAAAAAAGAAAATGAGTAAGTGCTTTCCACTTTTCTTTAGAATGTGAGAATGGTACAAGCCAGAAAACTTTCTGTTGCAGCTTATTTTTTAAGTAGCAAACTATGTACCCAACAGTCCACTAAAGGTACTGCTGAGTGTTTAACAGCAAGCTGGGTCAAAAAGATAATCTGTGGTAATTTGATGCAAGAGCACCAAGCTTGGTCTCAAAACCTCTCAGAAAGCTTCTCTTCTTTAGTTCTTCAGTGCGTTACGTGTAAGGAGAGTTGCAAGCAGATGAAGAGAAGTTAGTCCTTGCAGTACGTGTGGAACATGCATACACAGCCTGTAGATACTTTGTTCCACCAGCCGTGTCTAATTCCACCCTAACTCATCTCAAACCTGCTAGGTGGTTGAGGTGGGTGAGTGGTCATGTTGCTTCTATTAGAAGAAGTCTCTAAGTTAGATATTTATGCAGGCTTTGTTTTAGATTTCTTATCCACATATATCAGAGAAACATAAGTAGAGGGCAGACTTGGATTGATCAGGGGAATTAGAGTTGTTCAGTAGTGGGGGAGGAAGATTTCCTTCAAAATGAGAGGAAAAACCCAACTAGTTTTCATTGTTATTTACTAATTTTGCTGGACTTGTTTTCTGCTGGGGGATTTAATGCACATGGACATCAACATCCTCTCTGAGGTTTTTCATTATATCAGCAGATGCATCTCTGTAGAGCTGGTTTGTATCACTGCTTTTTCCCTGCTGTACTGTGACTGTAAGCTGAGAACAGTTGTTTCTGGGACCATGAATCATGGCTTTTTGTCAGCATTAAATGGACTTATTCACCAGGGTTTTCTTGTACCACAATACTTGCGTGGTAGCAGGTGTATTTCAGCTAACTGGGATTGATTTTAATTCACAGGCTGTTGGAAGACTATGTGAGAGCCATAGAAGGAGTGAAAAAGCATCTTCTTCAGAGATCTCAACCTAAGAAGCTTACCTTTGTAGGAGAGCTTGCTCATGGCCATTTCAGTGCCAAGATGGTAAGCAGCACACTGGCGTTATTTAAAATAAATAAGTAATAAGACATTCCTCACACCCACCCCTGATCCAACTCTTGGCAGCTGTCACTCTCTGAGCAAAGACATGTTCTCTGGGCATGTGAGTCGAGGCCTTTGATGTGCTGCTGGAATGCGAGTAGCAACAGCTTCTGACTGCACAAACATGTGTTGCACCAAGGAGAAACTGAAGGGCACGTGGAGGAGGAGGAGGATTATGGCAGGTCTGAGGGGCTGGCATCGTCCTCTTCTAAAAGAAAAGCAGGACTATAGCCAGTATAATGCCACCCCAGAGTAACTGGTTTGCAGATAGCCATCACTTGTGCAGGACAAGGGCTTTGACTTATGTTTCCTTCTCTGAGTCACTCTAGAAATTCCAGTTACGTTCCTGCAGTAGTGAGCTTTTTGATGCTGACGTTGGGGTTTTATTTATTTTTGTTGTTGTTTTTCTTTCTAGTCATAGAGTTGCTGCATTTGAAACAGATGAGGCAGTGCCTATTTTATTCATTTGTGTTTTCCATAAATCCAAATATCTTGTGGCTTTCACACCTGCCTTTTCAGATTTACCTTCAAAAGGGCAGGTGATATAACATTGCATTTAAAAAAAAAAAAAAAAAAGAGAGAGAGAGAATTTTGGATGGTAGTGTCCATTTGGGGCATTTGATTCTTTTCCTCTATTTAGGATTAATGGATGAAATACCATGCTGTTGGCTATAGGGAAAACTTTTCACCTTAACTTTTGGTAACTTTTGGTCTTCCTCTTTACATTCATTTTCTTTGACTCATCTGGTGTCTGGATTTTATGTGTTTACCAAACGTTCAGTTCTGTTCTTTAGCACGTGCTCCTAACATCAGACTTTCCCAAACTCTCATAGTGCTTTTAGTGAGGCCAGAGTCTGGGTTTTGGTTAGAGGGAGCTCCCCCACCTCAAAATGTGACAAGATTTAAGTCATTTAGAATTCCCTGGCTTGACTCTAGGTGCCTGCATGGGTGAATACGCTTGCCTTTGTCCCAGGCAGCTACTGATTCGGTGCTTCATCGATTATCTTTGCCTAAAGGACTTTCATGTATCTTAGAATGTTTGTCTAGTATATTTATATTGACTGTCACCCTCTTCAAGCATCTCCTATAGGACTGGACAGGGCATTAAGAGTTTAACACAGGTCCTGTCCATGTACTGGAGCTTTTTCACTGTATTTTTGATTGATGAGCTGAGTTTTTATTTTATATGTTAAGAGTTACTAAAAATCCCATATATGATGCTACCAAGTAATTCCTGTGTTCAGCAGTTTTTGAAAGTGTAGAACCAATCCTGCATTGCAAACTGAAGATAAATGCGGGTGGGCTTTTGGCATTTTATATAATGCTGTTCTCAAAGATATTGAATTCTTCTTGGAAATGTGACTAAATTCTTCTTGGTTGTTTATAGATACTGCACAGTTCTTCTGGTAATACCGTACCCCATGCCCTTTGAACACAGTTTTTTATGCCATCTAGAAGCTAAGAAAGAAACGTCCCTGGAGTGTTTCTGTTGCTGCTGCTTTGTTTTGGGAGAGCAAGCATGAATACCGTGCAACGTTTCACCCTCAGATACCTCTCTCCTACCTCACTGATTGAGGAGAAGGAATAATAGCTTTTTGTTATCCCAAACAAGTCACCAGAAAGGGGCAAGCTTTCAGGCAGAAATAGGCTTGGAAGCTTGTCATTGTTTTGAAGTTGTATCAGTGGGTGAAATAAAAACTGTTTCTTCAAATACTGTCTGTCTTTCATTACTCTCTGAGACCATTGTTTTAGCATTACTGTAAATCTGTGGACCTTTTCCCTTCATTTTCTGTGGTTAACTCTGATCTCTCTGTCTCACCCCACTTTTTGTTTTAAAATATTGACACTTCAGAAATAGACTTCTTATGTCACAGAGTTGTTTAAACTTTTCCTATCGTTTTCTTTTCTGCTTGTTCTGGGTGTCATGGCTTAAGTACTCTGGATCACTAAAGGTTTTTTCTCAGCACAGATATTTTTCTAGGAATGGCCAGTCTTTGAAATCTGCTAGGATCTGTTTTGAATGCTGTCTCAAATTATTTGTGTTTTACAAACTATTTTTACAGTAGTATTTGTATTTTCTAACTTTTCTTTCTGTTTTTTATGTTCAGATGATGATAAGCTTGTCCCCTAGTGGTCTGTATTGAGAAACCTTAAGGTGATAGATATATATTTAATGAAATATCATTGAAAGAACAGTTTTGGAAAACAAGATTTTCTCTACCCCAGCCTCAAAACTTTCTTCTTTCAATAATGTGTCACAGTTATAAAAAAGAAAGCAGGGTCTTGTACCTTCTCCAAGTGCCCGTAGTAATGCTGCCTGCATTGCATCTGTTTCTTTAAAATTTACCCTTGAGGTATTGGTACCCAAAATGTAGAGAGAGTAGAGAGACATGTTCTGTGTTCTAAGATTATAATGTTCATTTTACTTCAGTCGATTTGCCTCTCTTTTTCAGTATCAGTTGTCTTGTCTTGCAGGACCATTTGGTTTGCTTTTTGCCCGGCACTTTGGCACTGGGAGCTCACAATGGATTGACGGCCGATCACATGAAACTGGCTGAAGCCTTGATAGAAACCTGTCACCAGATGTATGTGCAGGTCGAGACCGGCCTGAGCCCCGAGATCGTGCACTTCAACCTTCATGCACAAAAGGGCCACAAAGATGTTGAAATCAAGGTGACCAGCTAGTGACTTGGACTGTAATTTGATGTCTGTTTGTGTTGCGTTGGTTCTGTACTTTATTCAGCTGTTCAAACGCTCAGTGATGCTCTCCATTCTCATTGAGCAGCTTTGCAGATGTACCTTAATGCACATAACAAATCATTTGGGGTATATGGAGGTGGGCAGTACCAATCTGATCACACCATCTTTCTCGCTGTGTGTGTTGAAGAAAACTTTACATCCGAATTATCTGTGTCTTTATTTATTTTGTTTTTCCCCTGCTCCTGCAGCCTGCAGACAGGCATAACTTGCTGCGACCAGAAACTGTGGAAAGCCTTTTCTATATGTACAGATTCACCGGAGATAAGAAATACCAAGACTGGGGCTGGGAAATCTTGCAAAACTTCAATAAGTATACACGGGTAAGATCAGCCTGTAATGATCTAACTTTTTCAATGCTATTTTCTTCTCTCAATCTCACTTGAGCTTCTCAAACTTCTGTTTTCAAGAGTCATCAAATAGCCTGTGGGGAGAATCTTAAGAAGCAAAACCCATCAGTTCATGTAGTGTCTTAAAGTTTATCCTGCTCTAAAAGCTTAATACATTAAGGATACCCCCTCTAGAAAACATTTAAAAAAAAAAAGCCAAAAATAACATTAATACTTCAATAAGTCTAGAAGGTTTTTTTTGTATTCATTCTGAATACTGTAATCATGGTGAGATCTCTCTGTGCTGTAAAAGTGTGGTCCAGGTTGCTGGTGGTCATTAAATATCCACAGTGTGTTCTTAAAAGAATAGGTTTGGTAGTGTGACTAACTGTAATCTAGAAGTTATAGTGTTTGCTTCTGGTATATTTTCCCAGAAATTTCTGTGGGTTTTTATTTGTAATACTTATACATTGAGCATAAATGGACATTTTGCTTCATTTTATTCTAGTGCTTTGTATGGCAATGTGTTTTAGTGTACTATGTTTTTCATAACTGAAGTTTTAAATATAAGTGGAAAATAAGTACTTAGTAGATTAAGTAATTCCGCTTCTTGCTACTTGCTTTCACTTGTTAATGAACATTTAGTTGCTCTTGAAGATAATAATTTCTTTTAGGTTATAGATACATACAGAATTTTTGCTTCTTCACACAGGTTCCTGCAGGCGGTTATACTTCCATTAACAACGTCCAGAACCCCAGTAATCCAGAGCCACGAGATAAGATGGAGAGCTTCTTCCTTGGGGAAACACTCAAATACATGTTTTTGCTGTTTTCAGATGACATAGACTTAATCAACCTTGACAAATATGTATTTAACACAGAAGCTCATCCGCTCCCAATTTGGATGCCAGCATAGACATAGTGTCAGTAGACCTTCCAGTGGTGGCGTATTTATCTCCAAGTCACTTTAATTTTCAGGGTTTGAAGAGAGATGCTGTATTTGCACCTTTCTTGGTTTAAAATGAACGAACAAAACCTTTGGGAAAGCATCTCTGGTTTAGAGAAGTTTTGTCAGTCTTAAATCTATCCTCTGATCTCTAGTTCAGGGATGGACAAGCTGTGCCATGCTAAGCTGCTTTGCCTGGTATTGATTATTAGAGAAGAGAATAATTGTGATGTGGACCATGGAATTCACTGGGCTCTGGTGAACCAGAACTCACTAGTCAGTCTTACTAAATGATAATTAAGTATCAGAAATGCAGCAAGCTGTCTTAGAGCACAGGGTTGTTGCTGAAGAGAAGGAATAAACCAAAAGATTTCTAGTTTATTCTGGCCATGCTGAAACACTTAGGTTTATGGCACCGTTTCTTCGTAAGAACCTGTTTCAGATGGTAAGTGGAACAACCAGCGAACTGTACAATTGTCCCAGGTAAAAGCAAGGTGTCAGTGTTGTTACTGATGCTCTGATCTCATTCCAGACTGTTGAGCTATGCTGCGTTACACTAGCAGAAGAAAGCTGCAGCAGAGCACCTGTTGTACAGTATCTTAATTTTCTAGAGCACTTTGAACAATCTGTTCAAGCTGTGGCTGAAACGAATGGTGGAAAGCCGAGTAGAAAACTTGCTGCTGGTTTGGCTCAAAGTGGTATATAATTTTGTAGAGGTATTGCTGTTTTTTTTGAAACAAGTGAAACTACACATATGTTTTATATATGATTTGCATCAGTTAGACTCAGGTATTCTGACTGAAAGCTGCTTTGTGAGGTTGGGCACTTGTGAGCACACTAGATATGGTTCCAGCTCAACCTCCTTCCATCCCTTCCTGTCCAGATCTTGCATATTAAAGTCTTGCTGGCTCAAAACAAGCTTAAAATTGTACAGCAAAACTCATGTCATGCTTTTTTCTTTCTTGAGTGAGGAGAAATTTGCATTTCTTCTTACTTTTTCTTAGCACTACCTTGGGTGGAAGTATTTTCATCAGTAGTATTAAAAGCAGACAGAGTAAATACATTATGGCAGTTCCTAGTCCCAGTAGATCTATTGAAGTCTGTTTAGTTGTTTGACTGAAAGACTTTTACCAGAGCACTGGGGTCTTTCGTTTTCACATATGCGAATAGGTTTTAAACCATCGATTTTGAAATTAGCTTTCTAAAGTGCTTTTCCTTTTGGTTTTGTAGCTACTTGGACCTCTTCATATTCAGAAATAAGTTCTACAAAATGTGCTTTATTTTCCATATTTTTAAAGAGGTGGTTCTCGCCAAAATGCCCTTCCACCTCATATTCCTTCCTCCATGGGGAGTCATATGCAGGTGCGTGGCAGTGAGAGTGAACTGCAGTCCCTCCTAAATCTGGATCCGCAAAACAGAAATAATAAAAATCTGACTGTAACAATTTTCCAATTGGTGTGGGGGTTGTGTGTGATTTACAGTATCTGTAACCTTTGTTTTGTTAAATAAGCTACATCTTAATTTATGTTGATCAGCCCTGTTTGCTGGATTTGGAAGTTACCCTTTGGACCACTGTTTAAGTCTTTAAAGGAATAGTTGTCATTCCATTTACCAATGATGTCTCATAGAAATTGAGTATTTTTACACCCTATTTAAATTTACCATTTTTCGCAATTGAAGGGACCCTGGGTTTTGCCGAGCGCTCATGTTCTTGCAGCTCAAACACCACAAGTAACCCTGCAAATAGCTGAGGTTTCTCACTTAAGTGAGCAGAGGAATACAGCAGTTGCAGCTTGAGCAACTCAGTTATTATCAAGTCACACTTTTGTTTTCTTTGATGTAAAGAAGGAAAATACCATTGAAACATAAGAAAGCACTGAAGCTGTTTCCCCCTAACTCTGTGGAGCAGGTCAGAGTTACTGAGGAGTTATAAGATGATGGATTAAAAAGAGAGGTTATAGCTGTGGGAATCACCTCAGTGAGAATGCTTTGGAAGTAAGAAATGAGCAATCGATCCATCTGTGAATGAAGAAAAGGGAAGAATAAACCTGCACTTTCCAAATGCATCTGTGTCTTACCTGAGTCTGCTGCTCTGATTTTTTTTCTCTAATTCATCCTAGAAAACTGAATTCTCTTTGCCAAACACAGCTTTAATTCCCTCACCTTTTAAATTTGAAAGGAATATTGCTTGATTCTATGGTTAATGTTGAAAACAAATGATTGTTTTGGACTCCTGCATCACATGTGCAATGCCAAGAAGCTGGATAAGCTGATAAAAGCTCACCTGCTTCTCCCTGCTCTTCTGCAAAGTCCCTTTAATCGCTAATACAGGAACGAGCATACAGCTGTAGGAGCTGGAAATCTCATGCTCTGGAGTTTGTCAGAGCTCAGAAAGAAAAAAATACCTATGGTTTTGCTCAGTGTACATTAGGAAGCACATCTAAGCATCCAATTAACTAATCCAATGGAGAACTGCAGCCTTGCTGCCAGGTTTGGATACTGGGATTTTTTTCAAGGTGCTCAGAGAGGCCTCTCCATTTTTCATGTGTGTGTTAGCAGGTAATGCTGGAAATCCTGCTAAGCTCAAACACAGGTCTGTTGACTCATTCAAATACTAAAGAGAAACCGTTTTTTTTTTTTTTTTCTGATTTGTTTCAGTGCAATGCTATGCCAATGAGAGATTTTGGAGAGAGCAGTTATTTTGCAACTGATATGTTCCACTGCTGTTTCTTTCTTCCTCCCCTTGAGAACTTGTTACTTGCTTCAGCTGTGCTCTGCCAGGAATAGTCCTGCATGCAAAGCAGCTCCGTATTTCCAAAGCAACATGCACAGTTTTCAGTGCGACATGAGAAGTTGGCCGATCTTCACATTTTCTTTCAAGTTCTGAGTGAGAGATGTAGGACTAGAGGCGATTTTAACTATTTTGTGCAATGTTCCCATCTTGGCCTTATGCTGTCTGGTGTATGATCAGTAATACATGCCTCTTCTCAACAAAGCTACGGCTCTGAAACGCTGGTGGGGGCTTCATCCATGGATGGTGCTCCGTATCACTCCTCACCTGCTGATGTTTCACTTTCTTTCTGTGTTCAGTCCTCAGCACTGTTTTCCAGACGTGCAGGAGCTGGGGCTCTCCTGGTTGGGGCTTTCCCTCCAGCTCACCAGAGCACCCAACGAACAGCGGTCTCCACTTAGATCCCATTCTTAACTTGCCCAAGGCTTCAAAGCTGCTTATGGAAGCTTGCTGCACTCCCTCCGCCCATCTCCAGTGGTTTCTGAAGCATCTCTTTATAATTATTTTCAGCATTGCACATCTTTCATCCGCATGCAAGTCTGTTATGCTTTGAAGCCCATGTCTATCTTCGCTTACCCCTTTGCCGCAGCATCTGAAGGCTTTCTGTATTCATCCTTCTACATAAAGCAAACACCCATTTATGTTTCTTAGACTCACTAGTCTAAGAAACTTAGGCAATCTAGTCCTTTGCAGTGAGTTGTATTTGCTAGGAAATAACAGATACATAGGTTCCCTTAAGTTCATAGGATTCATAAGAGGACTGAAGGACTCGCATCCCTCTGGAAGGTCCAAAAAACCTTAGGCAGCTGCCCACTTCAAAGGCACAAAACAAGCCACCGGGCAAAGGTGGTAACTTGGAGAACACTTTCCAAGAGCCTCATAGTGAACTTGGGTGCTCTAATACACTGTAAATCTTGGGCAGATTTTCACTAACCAGGCTTAATTTGAGCAGCCTGCTTGCCAGGAGGGAAGAATGTTAGAAAGGCAGTATAAGCAAGAATTAATCCTTGGTGTCTGTAGACATGTTCACCATCATCATCTTTTTCTCCTGGCCTTCTGGTCCTGACTAATTGCTATAGAGAGCAGGCCTCAATTCAGAAAAAAAAATCTTGGTTTTAGCACCTTGGTAAGGTTGCAAAGTGAGAATATTGAGACCATAGTTGCAACAAACCCAAAGCCTGACTTCTAGGATGATCAAAAGGGACACTTAAACCTAGATGTTTCTGCTAAGAGCTTTCCTGCAGCACGAATACAGAAGATTCAAGTCTTACTGAGGATTGTAATAATTCCATTAACAGTCTTAAAAATCTTTCTGCTTTCTGGGGTGCAATTTGATGAATTGTGTCTTTTCAAAATTTGTTTCTAAATATTTGAGTAATGGACCTTATCTGTTCCTATGCAGTGCGGGGAGCGGGGAAGAAGTTTGTTCTTCTGCGCTTAAAAGCAGGGGGGAGGTAAGTGGGTTTTGTGCAGAAAACTTTTGTCAGCACCTGACTATTGTGAAATAATGTCAGTGACCGATGGAGTAGCTCTGGGAACCAATTGTGCTGTGATGGCAGGAAGGACCTAATGCAAATGCTTTAACACAAAGCCTTGTTTCTGAGCAGTGTAACAGAAGTCAAAGCAGTGCCTGTGTCAGTAATGTCAGCCTTTGATGACCTGTGAGGCTTCCTCCTACCCCACATAAATGACTGTAAATTGATCAACTAAGACATTCAATCGATTACTGTGTTGTAGTATCTTTGCAGTTATGTTGATATTTATTGGTACACAGCAATTCCAGTAGGTAAGCATCCACCTGTAAATGTGCAAAGATGAATTTATTACACCTTGAAAAGTGAGAACTACCTTTTTGTATCTTCTTTGGTTATACTACCAAGCCATGAAATTATATCACACACTTTAATAAACTTGTAATTTATTTTAAAAAGATTTGAAGATGTCTTCACTGAAAGTGCACCACACTGGTACAAGTCTGATTTGTCTGATTTTTATTTGTTTGTCTAAAACCATTTTGACTTCAACCTGCAAAGAACGCTAGGGACAGTGATGAGCTGTGCTCAAAGGAACAGTACCTTATGTATTCATGCCAACATGATACCTGTCCTGGGCCATGAAGCATGGTTTAAGTGCCACTGTGCCTAAGGCTTTCAAGCAAGCTTTTATTCTTTCCTCCCTTTACAATGACTTCTCGTTTTATACATGTAAGCATGAAACCCGTGTAAAGCAGTCTGGCCTTTGATTTGCTCATGGTGCTTGGTTAGGGACAGGCTGGACACTTCAGGTAGGTGGCTGCTTATCATCGTGGCAGAGGATAACACTTTCTCAGACAGTCAGGTCCAACATAGCTCAGTGGTTTGTGGTCTTTCTACCTTCCATCACAAACGGTGGGAACCGAGCACCTCGGATGGCGGCCGGATGGATGTATTCACAGTGCTCCACGTGCCACGGTGCCAGCTAACCTTTCCCAGGCTTTCTCCATCCTGGCAGTTTTCACCCAGTCATTAATGATGCTCGCTTCCAGCTTGCGTGCCTCAGTGACAGACGGAGGGTCAGCTGCGTTACGTCCTCTAGGAGAAAGCAAAACAGACAGGAGCTGGTTAGCAGGGAGCCCCAATACCTTTCATGAGGACTGAACCTTTGTGTTCAGTTTTTCTCCTCTTACAGCACGCAAGTCAAGCCAGGTAACTGGAGAAAGGAAAGGGCCCATTTAATCTTCTGTTTAGGAATTCCAGTTGAAGTCCTGGGAAAACAAGTTGCAATGTGATACCTAAAAGGAGCAGAGATGCAAACAAGGTGCTAGGAAGAGCACTGAGCTTCAGTAGCTGCTGCCCTCTCTCCAGAGCCTGAAGGCTGACAGCTCATGCCAACAGAGAAGCTGGACTGCTTTATGTGAACATCATCCCAGTACAAACAGTTATAAACTAGCACACAAAGACAACAGTTTAGAGGAGGAGCTTTTTATCTAACTCTAGTTTCCATGGGATCCATACGAGCCCTATATTAGAGAAGAAGATTCCTCTTCCACAGTTATGCCCTAACAGTCTGGTATTTAGTTCTGTTTAAATAAAAAAGCTCCTGTTTCTTCGGCCTGTTGTCAGCTGAAGATAGAGCATCCAGCATGAGAGGATATTTTTATCCAAAGAATAGTTCAGTACCTTGAAGTTGTAAGTTACTGCGTGTACTTACCGGAGATCCAGGTGATGAGCACCTCCCTCAATGGTTATTGCAATTAGCGAAGGACTTAGACTGCTCTTTATCTGGAAAGAGAAGAGACCGTGACAAACTGCAACCAATTCATCAGGCAGAACTGAATACCTGTTCTGAAAAATGGGAAGACCAGTGGGGCAGAACTGAGGAAAAGCAAGGGAAAAAATAGCCTTGGTGTCATTGATACTGTGTGTGCGGCTACAGTCGTAAGTCAGGTGGTCACTCTCAAAAGAACTGAGGCCTTTCATTGTGAAAGAAGTCCAGAAGAGTTATCAACGTACCCCAGTACATGCAGTGTGAAATAACAGCTGTATCACCCGGAGGACTAGGACTCGTGCTGGGTGTCTGGAAGCGCACGTACTTACCCCACCACCAGCCCACGGGTCCAGGTCTCCGTTTGAAAAAATGATGTTGCTTGCACTTTTCAGATCTGGAATACAGAGAAGACATCTGAGGCCTCTTTCCTGTCTGGTGTCCCAAACTTGCTTGGTTGCTACGGCAAACCCAGTCAGCAGCAGGAAATATAGGAGAATAAATTCTTGGCAGTTTATACGTTTCCCATGTCACGATCAAGGACAGAAATGCCTGTGTGCCTGAAGCCAGCCTGTTACCTTGTGTTACCTTGTGCAAGCTGCCCCTGCTTCTCCAGCTGGGAGGGGCAAAACAAATCTGTGCTACAAATTGATTCCTGTGCTGTTTTTTTTTTTTTTCCAGAAAGAAATGATTCTATTCAGCTCCTTGCTGCATGATGAGAGCAATTAGAGGCTGCTTGCTGGGATTTTGCAAGGACTGAGGCAGGAAGAATGAGCTGGGAGAAACAAAAAGCACTTCAGCCCTAGAGAAAGGCAGAAGGTGGCTGAGTTCAGGGAGAAGACTAAGGGAGCTGTACTGAAGAACGGGGAAGGACTTGAGCCAAGCCAGCTTGTCTGGCTCAAGTTTTTCTGCATAGCAGCTGCTAGCTGCCTGAAACCTGCTGCCTGTATTTGATGATAGTGAGATCCCCTTTCTCCCAGACCTCCTCAGGCCTGAGGGAGCATGGGGAGAAAGCACAGAGGAGAATCATTGAATAGCTGGGGTAGGAAAGGACTTCTGGAGATCATTTGTTCAGTCTCCTCCTCTGCTCAGGTAGGGTCACCTACAGGAGGTTGTCCAAGACCCTCCATGGTTGCAGACACCACACCTCTCTGGGCAACCTCTTGCAGTGCTCTGTCGCCCTGCCAAGGGACCAGCAGCGAATGTAACTCACCTCCTCCCCAGAAGTTTGTCCGCAGCCAGCACGCCCGTGGACTCACTCCCCATTTGCTCTGGCAGTACTTCTCTCTCATGGCCTCTGTGAAGAGCATCTCAGGGAACATATCAGTCACGTTGTTGCTGTTGAAGGTTAAGTTGATCTCAGTACACACCTGTAACAGGTACAAGAATGGTCAAGGTGGGAGTGATAACCAAGCTGCTGGTAAAGGCCCTTGTCGCTTCCGAATGCAGTACCTGGTAGTCCCAAGCCTCGGCGTCCGGGCCGATGCCGCAGCCCGTTGGGTCGGCGCAGGGCTGGTACAGCTGGTAGATGTCGTAACACAGTGCCGTGCCGGAGGAGTTGTAGAACACGCCTGTCAAGTGGAAACACAGCACAAAGCCCAGGCTGTCACTACGCTGCTGCCATAAAACCCACCCTGGCCTCATGGCACTCATGGCCAAGACCAGAGGGAAGAAGGAGCACAATAGGCATGAAGGGCTGGGACAGAGCTAGAAAGATCTACACCATTTTTTAGATTATGATCATAATGTTACGCCTATGTGTTAGTGCAGTAAAGCTTTCAGACAGTCTCGCTGCTGTTTGTGTAATATCCTTTTACAGTCTCCATGGTGACGAATGTGCTCCCAGGAACTCTCTGCTTCTCTGCTCAGTCAGAAAAAAAGGAGCATCTCTAGCCCTTGGGAGAGCACCAGTCCCCAGCTCAATCACACATTCAAGCACAGGCTCTACAGAAGAAATTAGCCACCAGCGAGGTTGTCTCGAATTCTTCAGAACAAACAGGCTTCTCCTATCCCCCTGCCTTACCTGCTGGCCAAAAGCAACTGGTGTTTGAATGCATCAAACTAAGCACAAAAAGCAAAGGGCTGCCCATCACAGGGAGAATTTTGTTTGCCTGGTGTTGGGAAAGGGAACCCTGGCATGTGCAGGCTTGCCCGGAGGAAGGAGCAGCTGACCCCTGCGGCCCAGCGGAGCGTGGCCGGGCAGCGCACAAGAATGAGCTGCTGTCGTGCGGCTGAACAGCTCCCCGACAGCGAGACGGAGGAATGCAGTCACGCAAGGGGCTGTCAGCTCCCACCTGGCTCCACACACAAACACTGTGCAATAACCAGCACCGAAGGAGCCGCTCACTCTGCTCCTTCAGCAGACACCGTATCTGCACCACAGACAGTCCCAGCAAGCAGAGAGGCCGCTGCAGCTACTGAACTTGGACAGGTCTGCGTGAGCTGGCAGAACAGTTCCCTCTCTCCCTTAAAGCACAAAAGCAGAGTTCCTACCAGAGAAGATTGCCCAAGAAATGGCCTGACTGCAGACAACGCCTGCCGAGCACTCTGGGGTTCATCTCAGGGCTTTTGGAGACGTTGCTCTGCTCACAGGGCAGCATGGAGAGGCTCATGTCCGACACGTACCCGGTTAAACTCCTGGAAGGGATCGGCAGCCTTCGCTCTCAGAGTGCGCTCTGTGATGTAACGCTGGAGGCAGAAGGGGTTTGCTTTCCAGCACACAAGATCATATTAGCATCGGCCAGCAATTACTGCAAAATCCTGTTTGCTGGAAACTTGACAAGCGCTGGAAGTCCCGATGGTAACGTCCACCTGCAAGCAGTCAGTGCTGCAGGGCTGAGGAACGTTCTCAACTTCATTTATTCCAACAAACTAGAGCTCTCACTACAGAATATCGAAGAGACCTTCAAAGCAGCAGAGACCCTGTTCATTCGGGAAGTGATCAAGTTGTGCTTTCAATTTCTGGAGGGCTGCTTGAATAGCAAGAACTGCATGGACGTCCTCAACATTGCTAAGCGACTCGGGCCAGAAGAGTTGAGACAGAGAGCCATGTGCTGTGTAGGGCAGCAATTCCAACGTATCCTGTCTGATCCTCAGTGCTTGAAAGAGCTGGACCAAGAGACTCTCTGTGAAGTCTTGGACAGGACCGACCCTGCGGGGTGCAGCGAGCTGGAGCTGTTCAACGCTGCCATGAGCTGGCTGCAGCACGACCGCACAAGGCTGACGGCTGCAGCAGAAATTTTAAGGCACATCCGATTCCCTCTCATTCCTTTGCGGGATCTGCAGAAATACATCCAGGACATGCCGCTTATGAGGCTGGATCTAAGCTGCCGCAGGTACCTTCAGGAGGCTCTAAACTACCACTCCCAGCCGTATGCGCAGCCCATCCTGCAGACCCCGCACACAAGCCCCCGCTCCAGCTCCGCCGCGCTGCTCATCGCCGGTGGCAGAACAGCCGACAACTGCGTGTGCACGGAGATGTGGGCGGCAGATCAGGGGTGCAGCTCCTGGCGCAAGGTTGGGGACCTCTGCGCGCCGGTCTACAACCACTGTGTGGCCGTCATCAGCAACTTCTTCTTTGTCATTGGGGGCCAGCATCAGTTTGATCCCACAGGAAAGCAACCGTCAAATGAGGTAAGATATGCAAAACCATTAGGCTGGAAGAACATCCAGTGCAGGGAGGAAGAGAAATGCCCTGTAAGTTCCCAGCTCCAAATGGGACTTGCCAGTGCTTCTGGAAGAAGCAAACTTCTCACTTAAGGAACACATTTTTAAACACTGCAAGTTGGAAATTTCTCCCCGTTAGCAGGGAGGGCTGGACAAAGGCTACTAGGAACATGCAAGGGGGCCATCACCGTCTGGAAAAGGCAAAAGCCATATTAGGGATGGCAAGGAGTCATTTTGCTTGATCACCATTAATTTTTTAACTTTGCATATTTCTTATAGCTCTCTTCAGTATTGACACCCCTTAGGAATACATCTCCCAGGTTTCACCCTGCTCCAATGGTGGTGTCATGCATATCTCCAATCTGTACAAACCCTAGGTCATACAGGTTCAGCCATATTCCACATCACTCACTTGAGCAACCCCATGAACTTCATCCCAACCAGCCGTTGCTGCCCCATCCCTGTTCAAAGGGATCAAATTCACATTTGATATCCCCTACCATGAGGATCACACTATGAAGGCAGGAATTAAAGCCTGCCACTTTCCTTAAGAATGGCTCCTTCCATTTTTTTGTACTTAAAAGATCACTTTACCCTAGTACCAAGGTCCTTCACTTTTGCCTATAGGTCAAGACATGCACAAGATTTTATTTTCTTTAATTACTAGAAAAAGCAGAACATGCTTTTCTCTTAGGGGATCTTCAGGGATTTATTGTGACTTAGTTCAGTAGAGCCGCTGCAAAGAGCAACTCTTCCTTCTATTGCCTTGAAGGCTGAAGGCATCTTAGCAACAGCCAAGCAGGGGACACCGAAGGTGCAGGGCTGTGACTGCGGCTGAGGAGCTGCAGGACACACCTGAAGCTCAGCCCCAGGTGCAGTCCCGCAGAAATTTCCCTTGTTCAGTGACCAAACAAGCTTGGGAAGGTCCTTGCTGAGGTGCTGTGCCTGCACGGTGGGGAACCCCTCCTGCCTTCACTCGCAGAAGAGCAGGGAGCACCGATTCTGTTTTACAAGAGCTCAACTGCCCTCCTTAGCACCTACTCAAACACAAGCAGAGATAACAGAGTAGACCTTGTTGGAAGAGCTTTCAGGTGACACATGCTATTTCACATTTGAAATTCAAAGCTATTTCATTAAACAAACGTGGTTTGCTTCCTGCTTGCTGCAAGCTGAGAGCACAACCTGTGGCCAGATGCAGCAAACTTGCAGGAACACAAAATCTGAGCTAAGTCAGAGAACACACACAGTGTTTGCACGGTGCCAGTTGTGTCAGGGAGATACTGAAAGGACTCCTGCTATATGGCTGCCAGTGATGTTGAGCCTACACATCTACAGGTCTGTTCATGTATGACTGTAACCTCTTCTTCAGGCAGAGAAAACATTGAAACAGTTCTTGACCCCAGACATGAGATGCAAAGTTGGTTGCTGCCTTCTACTAACCATCACCCTTCTGTTGTGATTCTAGGTTTTCCGATTTGATCCTCGCAACACTTCCTGGCTCCAGGTTGCCAGCATGCGGGAGAGGCGAACGCGCTTCCATGCGGACGTGCTGTCTGAGTGCATCCTTGCTGTGGGTGGTGGGACGCTGCTGGGGAGCCTCACGTGCACCACGGAGCTGTACCAGCCAGCTGACAACAAGTGGGAGTTTGCAGCTCCCTTCCCCATGCCGATTGCTGATCACGCAGGCACAGTCCACAAGGGAATCCTCTATGTTTCAGGTGATAGAGCTAGCAGGAAGCAGCATACTGCCATGTAGCTTCAAAGAGGTTTTTTGGCAACTTAACATCACAGGCCAAGCCTGAAGCGCACCCCACAGATGCGGTGTCCTTGTCCTGCTGGGTGACCACAGCCTCACTGCAATCCTGAATGCAGGAGGTATTTTCTTTTCACGATGCAAGAACTATCAGCATCTGCTTTCACTCCACACTCCTGCTGTACTCTCAATAGTGGCTTTGCTCTTGCACTCCTGGCTAAAATCCCAAATCCTTGCCAGCTCAAAAGAGAGACTGCTGTAGTGTTAGGGCTAGTATTTCCGTGTAAAATTCTGTGTGTATTAATCTGAATGGAAGATGTGGGACTAACTCCACTGTGCTGCTTCACTAGTGCAAAACAAGTGTAATGCAGGCTCTGAGCTGCTAGCCTCATACAGCTCTTGGCCTGTAAGGCATCCTCAGTCTTTATAGGAATCTTTAGTAGATGGTGCAGTATGCTTAACAATAAACAGCATGAATACAGTGGTTTACCCGCTTCAGGCAGTTGCTGTAGGATATTCAACTTTTTTAAGTACTAATTTGGATTGGAAGCATAATTTTTAGTTTGTCCTAAGAAAAGCACTGTACTATTGGAAAACACTGGTGATGTTATTGCTCCTGCACTTGAAAGAGCTGGGCCTGCCTGCCACTGCTGCAGGACCTTGCTTCTTAAACACATTAAAACCGTCTGGGACTATCGTACTGATCCAGTCGAGGTTCCTCATCTTAATTTAACTGTACAATCACAATGAAGAGCACCTCTAAAATGGACCAAGGTGTCTCCTTCTCTGGAGATATTCATAACCCGGCTGGATGTGGTCCTGTGCAAGGTGCTCTAGTGCCTAACCCTACTCGTGCAGGTGGGTTGGACTAGATGATCTCCAAAGGTTCCCCGGTTCGATAACACAAGGCCATAGTGCTACAGACAACTCCTTTACCCTCAGTAGACTTCAAATAGTATCAGGGATCATGGAAAAAACTGCTGCCGTGCCACATCCCCTCCAGCATACTGTAAGTGAGTTCAGTTGACTGAGTAACGCTGTCCCAGGGATATCCTTTACATACAGGACTTGTACTGAATTCATTCATTTCCTCCTAAACCAGTGCGTTTACTCTCAGTGGGATTTGGCCAGCCATGGAAATAGCATGAAAGTTGCAGTAAGCTGTGGCATATGTCCAAACCTCAGCTATCACCTTCCTTGTTTGCAAAGGCTCTTTGTGTTTTGGAATTCAGCAGGCAGGCAACCAAAGAGGCTTTCCTTTCAAATCATAGTGCCTTCCTCCTGCAAAGCTTTTGTTTGTTTGTTTGTTTTAATGCAATAATGAAATGCTCAATGATGAATGTCTAACAGGTATGAAAAGCTGACAGTAGCAATGGCAGATTGGCTCTGACTTTCTGAAAAGGCAAAGAACTTTGAATACTTTTCTTTTAAACCACCATTTTGGTGACTGCATAAGCTGGAAGTAGATAACTTAACCAAAGTAATTACTGCTTCCTGGTTATACCTGAAACATGCAAAGGGCTGGTATAAAAATCTCTTGTAGAAAATTATCTGCAGAAAGAGTTGGGACTGTTCTTCTGTTTTTGATATCTAAGCAGCTCACGTTTTAAAGCCACCAAACTTCATTAACATCCATCAAAACCTGTTAGTCACTGTCCTTTTGTGTTAAAGAAAACCTTCTCAATTCCAAGTCTGAGCATGTCAAGGTAAAAGAGAAACCCAGGTCTCTGGGGTGGCATCTTTTCAAAGCTCCTAAAGGAGCAAAAATTCCTCTGCTTTACAGCAATATGTTGTCAGAAACAGTTTCTGAAACCTCTGCTACTGTTTGCAGAAGGATCGATGGATGTCTGATGGATTTTCAAGACTTCTGCTTTTCTTTTAGGGGGCTTCTCTGGAGGTAAAACCTTGCGAGAAACTTACAGCTACCTCCATCGCCTCCGACGCTGGGTTGGTAACCGTGCCATGACTTTCGCCCGCTGTGATCACGGGATGGCTACCACTGGAGACAGGATCTTCTGCATTGGAGGAAGGACCTTAAATGGAGTAAGGTCATTTGCTCCTATCCTACCAAAGCTGCTCTGAAATGGAATCTCTGCACTGCTAGGTCCTGGCTATCAGAATGACCAATAAATTCATTATTTTTGGTCTCTCAGTAGACAGATACAGTTGCAAGTCAGGCCATTACAGTTACGAAAACCTCCCTGCCATTACAATTGTGTGCAATAAAAGCTGCTCTGTCATCCCACCCTATTTGCTACCCCTATAAAGGCTGTTTAAAGCATCATTGTTTTTTTTAAATTAGAAAAAATACAGTCTTCTGTAGGCACAATCTCCTAATATAGAAAAATTTAAGTGTAAAAGTGATCGTGTACGAGCCCAAAACACATTGACTGCTTGGTTTTCCTTGGTAGAGCTGGGAATGACTAACTGTTCTCAGAGAGATTGATGGACAGATTGCTGTGAGGATACTAGCCTCAACTTTAGCAGGGACAGGTTGAAGTCCTGTGATGCAAGCAAAGTCTCCTCAACCCTTAATTTCCTCTCTGAAACAGAGCCGAAAGCACTGTCCAGCCTTTTGGGAAAGGGGCTTGTAAGGAGACAGCCAGTAGAGACTGCAGCGCTCAGGTGAGGAGACTCATTCCACGAAGCAGAAGCAACCGAGCTTTCAAAGACCATTCGGCAATTCTCATTCAGAAGCACAACGACATGCTTTGCTCTGTTTTAACATGTCCAGCAGTGCTAGTTTCAGAGGGAGGATGATATTGAGGAAGGAGCAGAGAACACTGCTTACAAAGAGAAACTTGATATGAAGTCCAACATCAAATTCCTTTTGATGACCCAAGGTCCCTTGCTGTTCACAGTTCAACGAAGCGTAGCACCCTTCAGATGAGTTTCTGCCAACTGTCTTAAACGTATGGTGAGCAAGGAGGACTTGAGTTATGCCAAATCTGATCTTTCTCATTTCATCTCTCTTCATGCACACAAGAAGAACCAAGCTCTTCCAGAGCAGTTCATCAGAGACATTTCAGTCTCTTCTGAAGCTCTGATGGCTAAATCTGGATCACAAAGGATGTACTTTGAGGTCTGCAGTACTCACACAGATTTTGAGGGAGGGGCTTCTTTTACCATGAAGCAAATGAGCTTGACAATAATAATAATACTCACCTGTGGCATGACATGATGGGTTGGTGTTGATCTGATTATTTGCAGGTGGAGGAATGGATTCACGTCAATGAGACAGAATATTATTGTCCAGCAAGCGATCAGTGGACAACACTACTGATATCGCCGTTCAGCTGCTGCCAGTTCAGCATCACAGCCCACGAGTCTACACTCTACCTTGTGGGAGGTGGGTCATTGCAGCGCATGCAGAAGGAAGACAGTGTTTTCTTGTATAACACTGTTGGGAGGGTATGGAAGAAAGCCACCTCCCTGCCTAAAGCTCTGGTTGACCACGCCTCTTGCATGATTAAACTGCCCCAAGTGAACGAAGTCGATAAGGACAGGAGAGGCACGAAGTGCTCACCCGCTGGCAGGAGGAGGAAGTCTACTCTCAGCTTGTTCATCACAAACAAACAAGAGTCCCACTCTGCTTCCAAGAAGTAGGATATGCATATGTGAAGTGGCCCTGACAGTGTTTGCCAAGCCCTCTTAAGTATTTTAAGAGCTCTTAAGTATTTTAACAACTCTACTACTATAGTCAAAATCTTAATCTGCAATTTGTAATTGGTACATTCCTTAGCGTTATCCTAGTGATAAGTGCCGTTCGTAAGAAAAAAAATTAGTTCCCAGTCTTATTAAGATAAGCCTAAACCCTTTTGTTATTTTAGTAATAATAATAACAATAATAATAAAATCCCTTAAAATTTAACTTTTGTCATTCATATCTTGTTTTTTCCTGAACAAACAATGATAATATGTAGAATTTATTTTTAATGAGCAAGACGAGAGATTTTAATCAAGGAAATCATTTTAAATAAGGAAATTATTCCAGATGGAATTTGTAGTTAAAAACAGTGCTGGCTGATGAATTAAGCATTCAAACAGATATACATAAAATTATTTATAACTGTGTTGAGATTGAGATTGCAGGGCCCTAGGATGACAATCTTGTCTGCAACACGTGCACCAGAGAACATCATTCAGTGAACTCAGACTGCTTGAGCTAGAGCACGGAGATGCTTCTGAGAAACAGAGATGCTTCTGGGAAACAGAGTTTTAAATAAAGGACTAATCTGATAGGATTAACTCACCAACAAGAGCTGCCAGGCCTTGAATTGGGTCTGTGTGTGCGAGGATTTGCTCACAACCAACCTGGATGAAACAAATGACAGGTAAACTGCACACAAGTAATTTGAGATGCACATGCTGGAGTTAATTAACAGGCCTCCATTCCACAGAAGGGCTAGGATGGAAGAGTTAATGAAAGAATGACTGAGCAGGACTCATCAAAATGTATCACACATTTTTATGATTCAGCTGCTCTGCAAAGGCCTAATAAAACTGTGCTTTCCATCCCAGCAGCAAAGTACGTAGAAATGGGGAGAAAGCACTGAGACAAGCAGTTCATTCACCAAGTTAAGCAACCGTAGCTGTTCTGAGGCCAAAGGGAGTCACAACGGCTCCTAGAATATTTTAACACCCCTCTCAAGGAGATTAGGATAATTAGTTTCATATTACAGGCTGTTGAACAGACACTCTAAGGAAACTGGATGCCCAGCTGAACCAGGAACAGCACTTCCTAAGTCCCTGTATGGTGCAACCTGCACCAGCTCTTCTGTAACATGCTTTTTGTTCCAGTCAGGACTTAAAGCATACATGGTAGCTGCTGTGTCTTTTCCATGAGGCCAAAGGCAAATAAAGACCCATTGGTGCCGTGTGCTGAGAGTTTAGCAGAAGAACAGAGTTGTAGCAGACACTGGAGTTCAGGATCTAAGTTGGGACCTTTCAATAGAAGCTGACTACAAAGACATGTTTGTAAATCCTCTAAGAACCAAGCTGCTTTCCCTGTTTTTTTTTTCCCTCCTTTTTTCACTTGGGCATCTCCTATTCTCTTGAAAGTACATAGGTTTTTCATCAGTCCACATATCAGGAGATATTTCTCTACATTTTATTCTGGAAATGCTTATTCATCGCTTAGCCAATGAACAAAAAGAAGTCAAATTTTTAAGACTTCCAATCCCAATAGCCAAAATAGCCCATGTCTATGAAAGTGTGTTGAGGCAGACTACAAGAAAACTGGAGAAGCTGCAGACGCTTCTGCAGAAGCTGCACGTTTTTAGTTTTTAAAAGCCCAAATCCAACAAGCCAGCAGAGGCCTTCCTATCTGAAGTAAAAGCAGAGCATGGTAGGAGTGGGTTCAGGCAGCTCTCCCCAGCGAGCTCAATGGCAGTAAATTTTGAACATAGCAGTTTAAGACAAGTGTAAATTGGCTGCCAGAGTGAAAGGGCTGTAACATCCACTGCTTCCCCTTCCAGTCACCATCACCATCGCATTCAGGTCATGGGAGTGAATGACCATAGCTTCAGAAATTGTTATTCTCCCCAGCATCAAGTACTCACCTTCACTGGATTAGCAGGTAGACGACCCATGAAGTCAGTTTTGTAGGGGTAATCCAACATGGCCATCATGGTGAAGGCATTTCTAGCAAACCCAAAAAGCTGGTAAACATCTTCCTTGCTGGAGATCTTATTGCATGTGGCCATTTTGCTGCTGATTTTATCATAAGCTGCAGAGCAGAGAAAAGCAAAATGCACAAACTTCAACAGAGTAAAATAATACCAGACTTCAGCATCCAGTTTCACTCAGGAGGAATGAGCTGCTATAAAACAAAGATGAGGTTTCTAATGGGAAGGATATGTTACCTCTGAATTTACACAAAGATGATGTTAAGCTATGCAGGAAGGCTGTGCCTGAACAACCCTGCACTGGCCCAGGTCCAGCCTTCTCCTTCCTTGCTGAGTCACAGAAACTGCTCTGGAGAACTCCAGATGGAAGAAACACAGTCCAAGACATCGGCAGTCCAGACTGACCCAGACAGAAGAACAGCTAAGCACAAATGTGTCATCCCTGGTACCCCGTTTGTCAGTGTTTCCCTCTCCCCTTCAAGCACTACTGCCTCCCATGAGGGAGCTGCTGTGCTCTGCAGTGCAAGGCTTGGATTCCTTAGCACAGCCAGGTGAGACAGTCTCATCAGCTAAGTTGTTAAGACAGGCGAACAGGCTACAGTCACAAAAATCCCAGTGGAATTCACAGGTTAGAAGAACCACTAGGAAAAAAAAAAAATCTCCTCAGCAGCTAGGTACTTGTGCAGCAAGAATTGCCAAGTTTGGATAATCCTGGAACTTGCAAGGTCACTAAGGACTTTCCTGTCACCTTTCTACCTGGAGGTTTGCCTCCAAACTTTAATATCATGCAGAAATGCCAGCTGGAGTCTGGAGAACTAACTTTAAAAAGACTCCTTCACGAGATGCTCCACCTACCTTAGCATTTCTGTTGGAGAAAACTGCTCGTTTCTTCTTTCTAAGCTTCCATACTCCATGGTCATAGCTCCTGTCTGTCCCCTACTTTAAAAGTTAGGCCACTAGAACCTGAATATCTTCAAGTGGACACCCAAGGCCTGGGACCTGCCTCTGGACATTGATACTGGCTTGAGAGGCTAAGCCTTAGATTTACCTTACCATAGCCAACCTGCTACAGAAAATGTGGTCTCACACAGATTTGCTACCGTAGACATTTAAAGCTTAGCTTTGGGTTACAGTAGAAGGTGTCTCAAAAAGGCATTCTGAACCCTCTCCTTTGATCAATTCCTGCACCAGGCACTGCAATGAGGCAGGAAAGCAGAGGAGGAACAGTCACCACCTCTGATGTGCACTAGCACAAGATCAAGCCAAGGCTTGAAGCTGCTCTCCAAAAAAAAACCAACCCCCCCCCAAAAAAAAACAAAACAAAACAAAAAAAAAACAATCAAAAAAAACCCCAATAATCCATCACAGCTGCTGCAAAACCTTGCTTGACTCCCAGGAAGAACTGTAGCAGGCCACTGTGTCAGGCCTGACCTAACTGAGACACATTGCAGAGATCTTCATCAGTCTCTGTGCTTGGCTTAGCCTAGCCTTAACTTAACCTAACTGTCCAAGGTTGGGATGAAGGAGACTGTGATGGCTGCTACAAAGGCCCAGGTTGCCTGGTAGATACCAGATAGATGCAGTAAGCTGGGCCACATTGTTGCCATGCCCATCTCAACCATCTTGAGCATTCTGGGTGTGAAGGACAAATATTTAGTTAAAGATCAGGTTTTATCAGCATCAAAATGCAGGCGTGATTAAACTTTAAGGCGGTTAACACAGTCCAAGCACCCACACAGACGCCTACATTTTAATACTGAAACCCTTCATTAAATCAAAAATAAGTCCTGTAAGCTGAAATATGAGGTCAAGTAAGCATTTGCATTGATTAGCTGAACCAATTTAAGATGCAATTGAAGTAAAACTGACTCAACACTTTTTCCACACTCCCAGTAGCACCTCCTGCTCAGCTTCACTTGTGAAGGTGCCTATCCTCACCTCCACTCAGGGACAGATCCTTAATTTGCTGGAAGGCTTTGCGGACAGCTGTGACACAGTCTGGGACAGACTTCTGAAAATCCTGAAGAGACAAGAAAAAGACATGATATTATGACTGCACAGAGAATACCTGTGAAAGCTGCATGGAGGAGGTGACAGGGGACACTGCAAGGGCTCACTGGCCCCTTGGGACAAGAATAACACTCATGTCTCCAGGATCAGTGACACTAGCATTTCTGCCTTGTCGTCCAGACCATCAGCATGCCCCAGCAGAGGCTGAAAGTCTGCACAACTCTCCAGGCCAAGGAGCATCTCTTTCACCAGGTCTCCGCTAGGATGAGCTATTAGACCACGTCCCTGCAACTATGCAATGAGAAGGGACACATGCCAGGACATAGATAGAAGGTGCAAGGTTGTTAGGCCCCAGTTTTGTTAAAAAAAAAAAAAATTCTTCTCACTGCACTTTGTCTAGGAAAAGGAATTCTGAAGAGGTCAGTTATGCCTCGGGGAGCAAAACACTGGACTCTGTAACAAGATCTGTTTTTCTTAGTCTTGCCAGCTAAACCAAGAAGGCCGCACCGCTTTCCACGGGGAAAAAAAAACTGATATCCTTGAAAAAGACTTTAAGGTACATTTGACGACTTAAGGATTGATATACTGCTGAAACATGTTGTTTCTGTCACTTGAACTGCAATCCAAACTGTTTTTTTTCTGCCAGCTTGTAAAGCAGTTTGTGATTTGCTAGTGACCACTGCATTTAAATAACAGGACTTATTAGGACTCTTTAAAAGTAATTTTACCTATTCTAGATTGATATTAAGTAACCAATAATCATTAGTTTAGCATTTTTCTTACCAGTAACAACTAAAAGGACTTTTCTTTCACTCATACCTCTTCTTTTATTTGTCAGTTTGGCTGAAAGAAATCACTTTTGGGGTATCCACAAAGTTTACTGGGGCTTCCATTAAGATCCAAATCCCTTTCTGGATGGCCTTGAAGACCTTCACCAACTCATGGCTGTAATCTGAGCATAGGGACAGACCAGCTTGGGAGAGGGGAGCAGGTCCTGCTCTGGCTGCAATGGCTGCTTCGCTCCCTGCCTGACACATAAAAAACTGATTTCAGTTTTTCTCAGCAGATCTCTATAAACCTGGAAACAGGTTCAGCTGAGCCATTGCAGGAGCAGTGGGAACCACTACAGCAAGGAAAGCCATCTCCATTAAGTAATCAGAGCCCTTCAGTCTTTTGAATCACGTTTAATTCAGGTATCTAAACTGATCTGAGGTTGATGGCATGACCCGGCCCTGTAGTACTAAGCTTGCTGAAACCATGTCTGTGGCTGCACGTTCCCACAAGCACATTCTGCCCAGCTGCAAGGAAGGCAGCTGGCACATATCACCCAGTCTCAGGCAAACTGCACGTAAAATTCCTTCTGCCTTTTGCTCACTTCCTCCTTAAGCTGTATATTTAGGAAGCATCCTGGAAATCCTCAGTAAAAGTCACAGAGAAAGTTGCTTTGTGACCATGTGCTCTGACTGGTGCAAAGACAGGAAGAGAGAGCTCTTGCAATGACTCATGAGCTCTCAGGAGCTTTCTCTCACAAAGAGAAGCAATTGAATTCAGAGACGTCCTCTCTTCAAACGCACAGACTGCTGTTACGTACACACTCAAAGGTAAAAGGAATAATTTTAAAAACAACACAAAGTGCTTGCTTAGAAACTCAGCACAGAGGTCTGTTTACCACTGTGATGATCAGGGCTTTTTACAGGGAATTAGCTTCATCCATAGGAAAATTCTTAGTGCTGGGTCTGCTAGATGATTAGGTGGTTTTACATTTTTAACTTAAAAATGAAAAATTTTAAGGCAAGTTGTCTTGTATCCTCTTCTATGCTTAAAATTTTACCTAACTACTGAGTTTGTCATTTTCTCATGATACTTTCTTCCTTTTGTGTTCCAGTGATGTTGTCTCTGATTTAAGTCGCTGCATTCAAATAAGGTTATCATATACTTAACAAGGGCAAGAGACCTGTTTTAAAAACGAATATTTTATGTAAAGCCATCAATGTCACCCACATCTAGAAATTCACATTGCAAGAGATTAAAACAGATACCACAGGTTTCAGTACTACCAGGTAGGCTCTTCAAACCGGCTTTGTAAACTAAGTGTAATTCAGTACTCAGGTGATAACCTTGTCAAGGGTTCTGATGCTCTCAGAAAGCAAAGGCTACATTTAAATTTGGGTATTAAGTGATCTCAGGACATCCTGTGTAATTTCACAATTTCAAGCTTGTCAGTGAAACACAGACATCTGGGGACCAAGGAGCAGGTGTGAAGTATCGTTATCAATGTGAAACACAGCATTTTTGGGGAGGATTTGAACAGTAACTTATTCAAAGGTCAACCAATATGATGGAAGACTCAGGTTTGAATTTGGCCAAGTAACTAGTAATGGGAAAGCAAATCTTTAATTGTTCTAAAGATGCTGAAATTCAGTTCTGATATTCTTGGGCCTTGTGCAGCCTACGGGCAAAGTAGTGCTTAATCATTCCATCTGCAGCCGCTTCTTTTCCTTGCAGATTCTCGTTTAACTACATCCCCCACTCAGCACTGATGCTGCCAAACTTGGTGTCTGCTTAAAGATAAGGAAAAGGAGAAAACAAAAACGTTGCCTTCTTCAAGGAAGAAATGTACTGTACCTCAGAAGAACGGTTACTTACTGCAGTTACATCTCTAAAGAACTGAGCAGGGTCTCCAAGCCCAGCCACGGACAACACAGGAGCACTGGCAGCTAATGCTCCAGCCACAATGTTTGGGTATTTCATCCTCATGTAAGCACTCAACATTCCTCCATAGCTGAACCAGGAGAGAGAAGACAGAGTTACTTCCTTCAACACACAGCTTACAACATATTGATTCAGACCAGCAGTCACAGGCTCACCTAACCACAGAAAAAAAAAAAAAAAAAAGAAGTTAGTTCATGAATATACTCAATGCATAGTGCAAATTATTTGCTAACTGACCATTTTCCCAAACAGTTGAACCAGCTTTGGTGAAAATATGGCAGACTGATTTGCTTCTGCAGCCATATGAAAACACTGTATCATGCTGAGAATTTCCTGATAGCTTCAGTGCAGAACTCAAGCTGAGGTCTAAGTAAAGCCGCCCCTGTTTAAAAGGGAAAGGAAGCATCATTTGCATAAAGGCTGTTTTAAAATGGGTTAAAAAAACTGTTTAACTTCTCAGCAGAGGGTGTCCCTGAACACTACAGAACTGGTTGGACAGTGGGAGGTATTCCCCCTTAGCTGTCTAGAAGAGTAGCATCGACGCAGGGAAGACATCAAATATTCCAACAACTCTCAAAGCCATCTTGATAGCTGGAGTATCAGGGTCACAGCTTTGCAGGCAGACCAAACCCTGCTCGATAAACTCGAGGTCTCAAAAGCTATCCAGCCGCAAAATTTCGAGGAGTTATTCTAAGGCCATGCCAGGGAATGGTAAATGACTCCAACAGATGGGTAACATCCTCATGACTGACTCCAAAGTCCCCACGCACAGCTTAGAGGTATTCAAGTCTCCCTCCTTACCACACTAAATGAGTCGGAAGAAATACTATTCCTACACCACCCACAGGGAAAACAATATGCTTCTCTAATCCTGCTCTTGGAGAACCGCTTTAGCTGAAACCAGCCACAAGAAATTTCAGTTCAGATGATTTGTCTGGCAAAACTATAAGCAACTGAAGAGATTTTTTCCTAGGCAAAAATTGTGCAGTTCCTACACTGCCTTATTTCAGTATTCTTCACATGAGTTCAGTGCTGTTCAGACCTGTTACAGATTAAAGTCTGCTCCAGCACAAAGAGCTGTAGCAGCCTCCAGCATGTAGCACAGATGAGACCCAGTAGATCTCACAGAACCCCTCTCCCATTTCCCTGCCTCTGGACACGCTCAGCTCCCAGCCCCTTTCACAGAAGTTACTGCCATGATATTCACAGTGCAAACACAACTGAGAGCAACGATCCCTCTGCAGCGAGGGACAGACAGTGCTAAGTCATGTTCAGTCACGATGACAACAAGCTGGACGCGTGCGGGTAAGTTACTGCTCAAATGCTGCATAGCTCACTGCAACCCAGGTAGAAACCCTGCACTAACCTCCTAAGGGGATGAGCTCCTTCTAGATGTCTTGAAGAGCCATTCAAAAGACAGGGATATTTGATCAACAAGGCTCTGAATGCAGCTCCTGTGTGAAAGGACTTCTGCTGGGAAACCAGGAGCAACTAAGCACAGAATTATGTAGAAATCTATAATGAAAACACCTAGGGATTGTGTTTAATAAAACGCTTGTGGCCCTAGGGAGAATATTTTTATCATTATTAGTTAGTTTTCTGCATATTCATTGTAAAATGTTGTGATTCTGCAGGAGTCATTAGCCACCTTTTGCAGCTCTGGCTGACTCATACACTGAGGATGTCTAGAAATACCCTGTCACAGAATCACAGAATGGTTGAGGTTGGAAGTGACCTCTAGAGATCACCTAGTCCAATCCCCCTGCTCAAGCAGGGACATCTAGAGCATGTGGCACACGGTTGCATCCAGGCAGGTTTTGAAGATCTCCAAATATAAAGAGGAAGGGCCAAACTCTTCTCAGTGGTGGCCAGTGACATGACAAGGGGTAATGGCTATAAATTAATACACAGGAAGTTCCATCTCCATATGAGGAAGAACTTCTTCACTGCCAGGGCGACAGGGCCCTGGAACAGGCTGCCCAGAGAGGTTGTGGAGTCATTGATGCTTCTCCAAAGTGAGCACGGGCCAAAATTGATAGGACATGTAGACCCAGAGAGCTAAGATATATTCCTTTCAATTCTCCCATTTAAGCAGCTGACTTAGCAAACAAGAAAATTTCTGATAAACTTCAGTAAGACAGCTCTGGAAGGGACGAGCCCTGCAGCAGATTGCTCAGTAGAGGTGTGTCTTCCTAAATTGCATTATTTATGTAAGAGCAAAGGCTACCTTGTTAAGCCTTTGTAATGCTTGGGCAAACAAGCTGATTTAAAAAGAGCAAGTCTCAGGATCTGCTGATAGACTAAGGAATGGTAAAGGTCAGTAAGGCAGAAGTCTAGTTGTTTATTTCAGTAAAAAGGAAGAAGACTGTAGAAGGGAAAAACCCTAGACCTTCTGTTCTGGGGTTGGCCCATCTGGCTCTCTCCAAAACTATAAAAATGACCCTAGCTTGGGTTCTCTCCCACGGCTGCTGCACACAACCAGCTGACAGCAGCATAGTTAAGTCCAGATGACACAGCCTCTTCTGATGCAAGGCAATGGAGTTGCATGTCCTGCACCCACTTTGGAAAAGGTGGTGAGCAAGATTTGGGAGGGCTGACTGTACTTTGGGGTAAGATCTCATGAGCTCAGGCACTAGCAAATCTGCTCACTTTAGAATAGCTTAGAGCTATTTAGAGTTTTAGAGCTTACTTCAGGGCCAAATGGATGGATGAGATTTTGGCTGGAAAAGGATATAGATAAAGGAATGAGCGCACAAAAACCTTACCTGCCTCCAAAGGCAATAACAGGGCAGTCTGTGGCACCGTACTGCTGTTTGAGCTCAGTAATTAGCACCGCATAGTCAGCCAGGGCTTGTTCCACAGTGAGCAGACCAGTCTTCTGCCGCTGCGTTGACTCAGGGCCAAATGGAAGAGACTTCCCATAGTACCTCTGAAAGGAAAGAGATAAGGTGCAGAAATACCGGTGTTGACGTGCAGGTCTCTCCTCACCTCACTCACTGTAGTCAAGCCTGTCCAGGATAGTCACAGCTGTCCCTCTGAGAAGCAAGTGACCCTGAATAACATCACACGCATCATGGGGTACTGGTGCACAAATGGGCAATAACAACAGAGCACTTGGCATCCTCTGAATTGTCTTTAATTAAGGAAGTGTCTTTTTTCCTGCATCCGATAAAACAGAGATCTTCATTCTTCCTATAGAGGATGAACAACCTGTGAGGAGTGGGTGCATGCATCTGTCACCTGAAATCCCAAATAGAAAGGGGAGGGAACAGCTCTTCATCCACAGGATGGGGGATGATAGACTTGCTAGGGTGGCATGCCTAGCCAAAAATTTGAGGCTTTGTAGGGTAGAGACAATAAATATTATCCAAACAAAGTAACTCTGCAGTCCAGTGTGGAGTTCAAGGTGAGCAGGAACTACTTACAAAAATACTGCTTTAAAGCAAAAAACGTGGCAAAGGCTTAGTTGGAAAAAAACAGTCTGCTCCCTGGATTGCTGGTAGACATATTAAAAGGAAAAAAACACTTCAGGGGCCATGGCTGAGTCAGGGGGATAGGACAAGAATCTATAATATGTAAAGGGACTAAAATACTCACATGCTCAGCAAAAATCACTAGTGCTTGCTGTTCTTCTGCCAATTCAAATATGAAGTCAGAATTCTGAGCGAAAGTCCAGATGTCACCTTCATTGCCAGTGTAAAAAAAGATGGGTCCAAATCCTTTGTCCCAGAATTTTGCTGCATGAGACAGTTGGCAGAAGCAAATGAAGGAAATTGTGAATAAAATCACAACAAGAAAACTGTTGGAGAATGAAACCACTCTACTTTTGCTGAGCAGGCAGGAGCTTAGTGAGTTAAAACATGATGAACTGGCTGAACATTTCACTAAGAACAATGCTGGGGAATACAGATGTGAGAAAGGCAAACTAAAGCACATCACTGATTTAAGAAGGGCTAAATAAGAACTTTGCTCAGATCAGCATACAGTCTGGACTACTGCTTCTGTCTGAAAATCCTTAAGATCTCAATTCTGCAAGGCGTTTGGAATGGCTGCCTCTATATAAAAGGTATTTTCCATTTCATTTTCCATCTCTGTTTCAGCCCAAATCACCCCTACTTTCACAGATTCTTTTTTTTTCCCCACAAAACAAACATTAGGGAATTACCTGCCTGTTTCTGCTGCTCTTACTGTGCTGAATAATATACAACCAAACTGCAAGTCACATATGCTTAAACCACTTCCTCTGTCTATAATTGAAGATTGAGATTGAAGGGACAATGTGACTGCTGACAGCAAAGCTTGTCTATGTAACTAGCAGTATCTTTCATGCCTACTTATTTTAACACATTTGATTTTCATATAGTCTTAAAATGTACAGAATTAAGGAGGGATAATCAACAGCTTCTTCCAACAATGTACCTCAAACTCTGTTGAGCATTGACTTCAACACATTGCCCCATCACCCACTGGGTAGTAACAGGGGCCGTCCTGGAGGATGTCACCAGGTTTTCTTACGTGAGGCTCTTGCATTAACAGAAGTGCCAGAATGTAACTCTTGGCATTCTCTAGGTAAACTTGCCAAATAAGAGCCAGCTTGAAATGTTTCATTAGTGCAATTACTGATTTTGGAGAGGTTTCTAAACAAAGAGGTTGACTCTGGGTTGCATTTGCTTTGGGGATCAGGCAGGGAATGGAAATGCTGTCTTTACTCTGGCATTTCTTCCGACGTGCTTCATAGCTCGTGGCGTAAACAATCATTCACATGATCCAAAAAAAATCAGAAGCTGCTGCTCAAAAACATATCTGTTTTTAGATGGAAATCTTGGACAACTCCCAGCTAGTCTCAAGCTTGTCAGCTGGTTCGTTGTGAAATAACAGACTCCTTTGGATTTACTCTGATTACCTGAAACCAGTGAAGAAAAAAGGGCATTTTGACTAAGAAACTGTTTGTAAACCACCAGAACTGCAGCATGAAAGCCTGCTTGCAGCTCCAATTCACGGATCCAGGTCAGACATGCAAATAAAATGCTAGCACTGAAAAATAAGTTAGCCAATGCTTTAAACCAGGCAATCCCCAAGTTCTGTTCAGAAAGCGCCACTTTATCTGTGGAACTGCAACCTCAGGTGTGCTGTCAGCAGCAACCTGTGTGACAGTATCTTTGTGGTCGGATTAATTCCATTAAATAAACCCTTGGGGAAAAAGCACAGCTTCCTGGCTTGTGGCCTGAACAAGTGGCAGAATAACAGGGTGAGCGGGACGGCAAGCCCCCATTTGGGAAGCAGCAGCAACCAGCCCAGGAGGATGCAGCCGCGCTCGGGGATGGTATCCCCAGTTCAGCCCCTGCTCCCTCACCACAGCTCTCTCCCCATTGCCTGCAAACTTTAGACACGCAGCATTCGAGAGCCTCTCACACTGGCTAGTGAAACCTCTGCCTTTTTAGACACACGCTGTTTCAGAAGCTTCCACTCTCTTGTCGCTTGTTATTTGGCCAGAAACGCAGACACTACTGGCCTCCAGGCTGGAAGCTCTTTCAGTACCCAGAACAGTTTAGGCTAGATAAAGTTCTTGGGTTGCAAATACCACAAGACATGCACTTGCCACTGTGCTTAGTGCAGCACTTGGGTCATTACCTGCTGCACTCGCTGAACTGAGGGCCTGAAGGGGAAGAGAGGGGAAGATGAGGAGAAAGAAGAGGGGAAGGATGTAGTGCCCAGACTCAATCAAGCCGGCTGCCCAGCAGAGCACGTTGACACCAAGCGGAAAAGTTCTCTTCTGCAGCACAACCATGAAAGCTTAAAACAGAGGGCACAGAGCCTGGCCCCGGCCAGGGCCGCAGCAGGGCAGGGAGCAGCGCAGTGGCGGGACACGGCCTCGGGACCCACCTGAGACCAGGTACCGCTGCTGGAAGGTCTCGTTGCCGAAGCTCTGGAAGCTGAAGTGGTCCCGCACCTGCGGGAAGAGCCGCTC